AACTTGGAGGGTGTGCTGGCATATTGTCCATTAGAAGAAGGCACCTTTCAGGCAGAAGATTGTTGGCAAGATATTTCCTAGCAGCAAAAGCAAAAGACTCGTGCAGCCATTCTAAAAACAAGCTCCTTGTAGCCCAACCCTTCGTATTCTCCTTCCACATCACAGGCAGTCTGGTCTTGTTCACACACTGCTGCTTGAGCGCACAAGGATTCTCAAACTGGCAGACGACGAGCAATTTAGTTTTTAGATCGCCACTTGTGCTCATGCACAGCAAAAGGGTTAATCTGTCCTTCACTGGCTTGTGGCCGAGCATAGCCTTCTCCTCCTGGGTGACGTAGGTCCTCCTCGGCATCTTCTTCTAAAACAACCCGGTCTCATCGCAGTTAAACACTTGTTGCGGAATGTATCCTTCGACCTTCATGAATTCAACAAAATCTTTCAAGAACGCTTCTGCAGCAGTGGCGTCAGAGCCAGCAGTTTCTCCATGCCTTACCACAATATGAATGCGACTTCTCTTATGAAACTTTTCAAACCATCCTCTACTGGCTTTAAATTCGTCACTTTCTGCACTAGCAACAGTTTCTCCACCTTTTCCAGCACTTAAGACCTCTGCTTGGTTAAGATCATAACTCCCTTAGCAACATTAGCTGCTTTAATAACCGTTCTCTGTTTCAGAATAGTCGATATCGTAGACTTTGGCTTCTTGAACTCCGCAGCAAGATTGGTAATACACACACCACGCTCATACTTTTCAATAATTTCCTTCTTCATTTCTTTTTCAACTTTCTTCAAACCCTTCTTTTCACCCACATTACCACTTTTCACTTATTTAGAGGCTATGGTGCCATGGTTAATTGCAAAATGAATTCAAAAACACAAGAAATACAACACATGGAGTTCACAGAGAATGAACGCACATCTGATCGAGACCGACTACAAGGCAAGGGTCTTTGTTAGGTGTACACAAACAACAGGAAGTGGAGAAAATTGGTGCATGCAAAAAAATGGTGCAGAATGTGAAAATTGGCACAGCTGTGTTTGTTTGGCATCCAATTATGTGTTCGCAACCAGATGCAAAAATTTGGTTTATTTTATGATCGTAAACCAATTTGTTCGTGTTCGGAAATGTTCGTGACCAGAGGTTCCACTGTACAGGACTACTATTTTCCAGCAGTATCAAGTTTTAATAGATACATGGGTTTAAAGGGAATAACAAGTTTCACTAAACATGAACAACAAAATGATAAAAAAAAAGTTATAAGGCAGGGATGCTAGTTCAAAATCAGCTTAGAAAGCCAACAATACAATTTAGGGATCCTCTTTCTAAAATACAATGCCACAAGGAAGCCCCACTTCACAAGATCTAGAGATGAGAATGGGAGGAAGAGGACAGCCATCATGGTGTGTTTTTCTCAAATGATAGACCTGGTGGCATTACAATGGTAGAGTATACTGACAGTAAGAAACTAAGACACACAACGCATATTATGGCATTTTACTGTTAAGTCATAAAGTTCCTGGTGAAGAAACATCTTTCACAATAATATGCTACAAACTCCACTGTGCGACTTATTTACATGCATAGACCTAGTAAAAGATAACATACGTTAAGTGCCAAGGATAATGAAAATACAGAGACTTTTGTACAAGCCAAAAGTGGTGGGTAAAAAAAGAATATATATTTTCCCAGGAAATACTTGAAGAACATGATATACATTTCATAATAAATGGTTACATTAACAAGTGAAGATATTTACAAATGAGAAATGTGATTGCTATTCTCAAGAAGCAATAAAGAAAATAAAACAAGAAACATGATAATAAACTATGATAAAAAAGAGATTATTATATAAAAGATGAAAAATTAAACAGGTTTAAAAATTAGAATATATGATTAGTAACAAATGGAATAATGCAAGGTCACATGCAAACAAAAATCATAATAAAATTTGTCATGTGAATTACTTTTCTGAGATGTTGCATGATGACAGTGAGAAGATATGTCAAGACTGCTTCCTAATAATGCTAAGTTATAATTCTTTAACTATCAGCAAGTGAATGATAATGTGATGGTGTGCTCTACTATTACAACTGCTATTACCAATACTACTGTTAATGTGTCTATTACTACTATTATTGTTACTACTATTTCTATTATTACTACTACCACTACTATTACTATTATTACTACTACTACTACAGCGGACCCCCGGTTATTGGCCGGTTCTGTTATCGGCCAACTCGGTGATAGGCCAGTTTTTCGGCGCCCGGTTATCAGCCGTTAATTCAATGATCAGACAGTTTGGGATGTGTCCATTCACCGGCTGAGTCTGCTTGCGTGTCAGTTTGGCTGTGTCTCTTGGTGGCTGAGGAAGCTTCTGCTCATACATCCAAACATTTTGCTTATTTCCCATTGTAGTTTGTGTTATTTTTGCAGTGCAACTGTGAAATAAGTAACCATGGTTCCAAAGAAAGTTACTGTGGTAAAGAAAGTGAGAAACACCGTGAGTTTTAAGCGTGAAGTGATAGAAAAGTTTGAGAGTGGTATGAAGGTGGTGGAATTTGCCAGGATGTACAGCAAGAATAAATCAACAATTACATCCATCCTGGCAAAGAAAGAACAAATCAAGGATGCTAATGTTGCTAAAGGAGAAACTCTTCTAACTAAACAAAGGCCAATAATGGAAGAGATGGAAAAGTTATTATTACTGTGGATTAAGGACAAAGAATTAGTGGGAGACAGTGTTGTAGAGTCGATTACAGTGGACCCCCGGTTAACGATATTTTTTCACTCCAGAAGTATGTTCAGGTGCCAGTACTGACCGAATTTGTTCCCATAAGGAATATTGTGAAGTAGATAAGTCCATTTCAGACCCCCAAACATACACGTACAAACGCACTTACATAAATACACTTACATAATTGGTCGCATTCGGAGGTGATCGTTATGCGGGGGTCCACTGTATTTGTGAGAAGCCAAGGCAGTTGCATGAGGATCTTGCAAAGAAAATGCCTGGAACAAGTACTGCAGTTTGTGAATTTAGGGCCAGCAAAGGATGGTTTGATAGATTTAAGAAACGTAGTGGCATACACAGTGTTGTAAGGCATGGTGCGACTGCAAGTTCTGACAAATGTGCAGCTGAAAAATTCGTGCAGGAATTCCAGGGGTACATAGAGGCTGAAGGATTCAAACCCCAACAAGTGTTCATTTGTTGCAAAACAGGCATGTTCTGGAAGAAAATGCCAAGCAGGACCTACATCACTCAAGAGGAAAAGGCACTGCCAGGACACAAGCCTATGAAAGACAGGCTTACTCTTTTGTTGTGTGGTAATGCTAGTGGGGATTTCTAAATGAAGCCTTTACTCGTGTGTCACTCAGAAAATCACAGTGTGTTCAAGAAACACAATGTCATGAAGAACAGAGTGTGTGTGATGTGGAAAGCTAATCATAAGGCATGGGTCACAAGGCAAATTTTCAAAGAGTGAATTAATGATGTGTTTGGCTGGTGTGAAAAAATACCTCCTGGAAAAGAAATTGCCACTCAAGTGCTTCCTGGTACTGGACAATGCGCCTGCACATCCTCCAGACTTGGAAGACCAAGTGTTTAGGGACTTCAGTTTTATAAAAGTGAAGTTCTTGCCTCCTAACATCTCTCCTCTCCTCCAGCCCATGGACCAGCAGGTCATTTCTACCTTCAAAAAACTCTATACAAAAGCAGTGTTTCAAAAGTGCTTTGAAGTGACTTCAGACATTCAGTTGACCCTAAAAGTGTTCTAGAGGAATCATTTCACTATCCTCCATTACATAAGCCTTATAGGTAAGGCTTGGGAGGGAGTGACTTCCAGGACTTTGAACTCTGGTTGGAGAAAACTGTGGCCAGATTGCGTCCAAGAGAGGGATTTTGAAGAGTTTGAGGCTGACTCTGACCCTGCCAACCCTGTGGACTCTATTGTGGCACTAGGGAAGTCCCTGGGGTTGGAGGCGAGTGGCGAGGATGTGGAAGAGTTGGTGGAGGATCACAGGGAAGAGCTAACCACTGAAGAACCGCAACAGCTTCAACTTGAACAGCAACAGACTGCAGCTGAGGAACTTGCTTCAGAGGAGGAGGAAGAGGGAGTGAAGGAGATGCTTTCATTATTGATTAAGAACATTTGTGCAAAGTAGAATGATGTGCAAAGTTTTGTCGGGAAGTACTACCCTGACAAAGCTGAAACAAGCCATATCTGCAACATGTTTAGTGATAAAACCCTGTCTCACTTCAGGGAAATCTTAAAAGAGATGCCAGAAACAGAGCACTCTGGACAGTTATTTTGTGAGACAGGGGTCCAGTGACTCTTAAGCTGGTCCTAGTGGCATTAAAAGACAAAGAAGGGAAGTAACCTCAGAGAAGGCTCTGCTATCTAAAGTTTTTACGGAGGGGATTCTGCTTCCAAACACTAACTCCTCCCTCTTTCCTCCTCCCTGTCTTCCAGAAGCCAGCATTAGCCTTCAATAAAGGTATGTAATATTTATATAATTGTTAAAAAAAAATATTTTTTTTTTTTTAATATTTCTGTCTGGAACAGATTAATTGTATTTACATTAATTCTTATGGGAAATATTATTTCGGTTTTCAGCCAACCTTCTGGAACGGATTACGGCCGATAACCGAGGGTCCTCTATACTACCATTATTACTACTATTATTATTAATACCACTATCATTAATACTACTTCAATTGCTACCACTACTGTTACTTACAATAATAATATTACTACTATTACTACCACTACTGTTACTTATAATAATAATGCTACTGCTACTACTATTACTGCTGCTAATACTACTACAACTACTACTACTACTAATAATAATAATATATAATAATCACAATATTATTATTATTTTTATGATTATCTTTTCTAAAAAACTGTATCGGTGATATGAGGATTGTTTAACTATATGTTGGTTAACTTTTAGGAAGAAACATGGCTAATCGCTGAGTCTCATTACTGCCTACCTGGAGGGCAATTTTCCTCATCGGAGTAATCACGACAGTCATAACGGCCATCACAGTGAGCTTGTTGAGGAATACTTGACCCATCTGTACATGTCCACTCTGAAGGATGCACAAACAATCAATACAGGCTAATATTTACAAATAACTCCATATTCAATAGTACAGAAAAATGCAAAAATTGAGTCTACTAGACACCCTCTTCAGGTGACAATGTTACAAAAAATTTTTAAATAAATATTTGCAATCAGCAAAATTCAACATGCTGTGATCATATTCAACATGCTTTATATTCTACAAATAAAACAAAGAGAGAGCTATATAGAGACAAAGAAACATATACAGCCTCTCCTCACTTAACGACAGAGTTCCATTCCTAACCCTTTCAGGGTCCAGAGGCCAAATTTCAAAGGGTGCACCAGTGTCCAAGAATTTAAAAAAAAAAAAAAATTGTTATTTTTTCTTAAGAAATGGTAGAGAATCTTTTTCTGAAGGTAATAAAACAAAAAGTACGAAATTTGATGGAAAATTGACGAAATTAAGCTCTCGTGAATTTTGACGTGTCAGCGATATTTACGAATCGGCGATTTTGCCGACTTTGACTCCCTTTTTAAGCCAATTATATTATTCCAGTTGACCAAATTCTTAGCTATTTCACTAGTATTACTTCTATTCTATCGATTGAGCACAAGAAATCGCCAAGTCAACTGTTTCAACTACAAAATAAAGTGATCGGAAATTGGTAATTTGGCCAATTTAACACAAAGTTCAAAATATTCCAATTCCAATTTCAAAATAGGGTCCAGAATAAACAATGTAGGTATTCCTGGCACTAAACTAACATTTCCTCTGTTCATTAGTTACGGTTTTGAGGCTTTACAAATGAATTCCATTTTGATTTTTTATTCACATAATGAATTTTTATTCACACCAAAAAATAGAAGATTTACTGTTATGCAATATTGTAATAATTGTATAAATATCATCACCACATTTGTGAATGTATATTAGATCCACCAGCTGGCGTGTATTAGACGTGTGAGGTCATTTGTTTACTCTTGAACATCTGCAAAAATTTAACATTTCCGCTATTTTGAGCTCAGTTTCAAGCCATTTCCAGTGCTAAAACCAATCAAAATAATCTCTATTTCTGTAATATGTTTTCCATTCTATCAAATGAGACCAAGAAATCACAAATACAACTATAAAAAACATACAAAAAACACTGCAAAGTCGGTTTTAATAAAAAATCACGGTCTCAGTTTTTTTTTCTCTCATTATACACAGTGTGCTGCAGGATTTGTTTTATGTGGTACACACATACCACATAGATGTATTCTCTTATATCTAAGCCCAAATTTACCACTCGCAGTTAATCAGAGTGAGCTGAGTTCATGGCGTAGATCTACGGTTTGGACTCTGAATGTAAAGCCGTAGATCTACGGGACGGACCCTGAAAGGGTTAAGACCACGTCATTAAACGAATTCATCGCTGAGTGAGGAGCATACTATAATGGTAGGGGGTTTGTGTCAACCATCTTTGATATTGTTTTAATGTCACTTTTGCACTATTTATAACATTTCTGGTATATTTTTAAATGTTTATACAGTAGTGTACTGCATACTGAAATAAACAGAATAGTGGAAATCAACTCTAATATACATTATTTAGGTATAAATACTGGTCAGAGAGCCTGTCGTAAGTCCGAGGCGTCAGTAAACAAGTACATTACTAAGTGAGGAGAAGCTGTATACATATACATACATGCATATTCTTTTTAGCACACTGTCCATCTCCCACTGAGACTGGGTGACCCAAAAAAGAAACACCTTCACCACTATTCACGCATAATCACCATCTTTGCAGAGGCGCCCAGATACGACAGTTTAGATGTTGCTCCTACAAGGAGTGAATCTGGCCAGACGCAAATTAAGAAGTACTGCCAGTATCTGAGAATTGACCCTTGCAACCCCAACAGGCAAGTACAAACAGGAGACTCCAGATACAGACACTTATATTAGTAAAAAACTGATCTATAATGACTGTTACTGTTACCATTTTTATGTTGACAAAATTATTCATACCTGGACATGCCTCTTCATCTGTATAGTCAGGACACTCATAGGCACCATTACATCGTGCCTGTTCTTTAACACACGTTCCATCGCCACAAGTCCACTCACCAGAGGCACAAGCTATCATCAAAAAAAATATAAGTTCTCGGATCATTTTAGTATTCCTAACAGCTGGATGTACAGGTATGGTGATACCAACCAATTGTTAAAGAAGACTCATAAATGCAGTTATGACATTAATTAAAGGAAATATTTTTTATGAGCTATTTCTTCAGTCCTAATATAGAGGCAACAAAGGGAACATATAGAGTGAGTAGGGATATTATTTGCAGCTAACTATCATTCCACTTCATGTTGCTTGTCTCCACTCACTACACATACTCCTTTCTTGGTTGTCTCTTTATTACAATGAAAGAAATGACAAAACTGTATATGTGTCTTCCTCCATATCTCTAACAGCATGCACAATGTGAGCATGATTATATAGTAAAAATATATATACAGTACAGTACAGGTACATGCAATGATATTTAGATAACTGAAAAATCTCATTAAGTATGTTATGTGTTGCTATTGCAACTACAGTAATCTCTAGCAGAACATTCACAGGATATTATTTGGAATAATGGCCAAGAATACACATAGGACTAGCGAGCATGGAAGAATTGCTTTCGGTTGCATGTTGACTTCTCTTAACCACTCGTAGTGGTTTGTACCAACTGATACAAGACTGTGCAACTCCCAGAATTATTTTACTTTTTTTTTTTTTTTAAACAAGTCAGCCATCTCTCACTGAGACAGGGTGATCCAAAAAATAAAGAAAATCCCCAAAAAGAAAATACTTTCATCATTCAACTCTTTCACCTCACACATAATCACTTGTAAAAAAAATTATGATAATTTTTTAATTTTTTTCAAATTAATGCATTAACTTTTATACATGATTTGTTCATGTGTGGAATCAGCACTTTTTTTAATGAGAAAAGGTTTCTTCATTTCATATTCTAGCATTGTTTTAATTTTACAAAAATAATGACTTTCCCACACAATTTACAGGTTCATTTCCTCAGTTCAGCCTTTCTAAGACAGGCTATCACCATCTCAGTTGTGACCCACAGCAGTCAATAACACCTAGGTTCAATACAGTGGACCCCCGCCTTACGATATTAATCCGTTCCTGAGAGCTCATCATATGCCGAAATTATCGTAAGGCGAATTAATTTTCCCCATAAGAAATAATGGAAATAAAATTAATCCGTGCAAGACACCCCAAAGTATGAAAAAACAAAAATTTTTACCACATGAAATATTAATTTTAATACACACAAACTGAAGAAGACATGCACAGTTAATACTCTACTAAGAATAGAATACATGACACTTACCTTTATTGAAGATCTGGTGATGATTGATGGGATGGGAGGAGGAGAGAGTGTGGAAGTTGTTATTGTTTAGAAGGGGAATCCCCTTCCATTAGGACTTGAGGTATCAAGTCCTTTTCCGGGGTTACTTCCCTTCTTCTTTTAATGCCACTAGGACCAGCTTGAGAGTCACTGGACCTCTGACGCACAACATATCTGTCCATAGAGCTCTGTACCTCTCTTTCCTTTATGATTTGTCTAAAGTGGTTCACAACACTGTCATTGTAATAGTTACCAGCACGGCTTGCAATAGCTGTGTGAGGGTGATTTTCATCCATAAAGGTTTGCAGTTCAACCCACTTTGCACACACTTCCTTAATCTCTTTTTCTTAGTGCGAGGCGAGGCAAAAATTTTGCGTTAAAATGTATCATATGGCGGATTTAACGTAACGCGATGCCATCGTAAGGCGGGGGTCCACTGTACTTATTTAAAAATCAGAAAACAGTTAAAGCCCTGCCTGAGTATCACACCTCAGGCCCTTTCATTGTGAACTGAGCACTCTACAACTGAGTCAGAGTTTTTCTTTACCAAATGCCTTTATTTTCAGCATAACTGTGTTAGGTTCTTTTTATAAGAAAATAAGTTTGTATTTTTTCTGATTCTGGTACTGCTCCTTACATAAGAATGAAATGAGTATTTCACTGTATCAAGAAAGTGACAAATTGTGTAAGTTGTGGATTTGTAAAAAATAAAAATTACCAGACCATCAGTTCAATGCCCAGTATTCCTTACTCAATGCATGTAGTTAAGATGAAATTTGTGTTCCTTTCTTGATTTCTGAACAAGTTTATTTCATTTTGCATATGACCTTCTGCTTTATGAGTGGAATGCTCATATTTTCTTTGTAAAAATTCAAGAAAAATGGACTATTGTATTGACTTGAATTTTGAATTTTATTTTTCTCTTGCTAAGATCAACTTCTCTATAATGAATCCTGATCAGTTTGCAAGGATTATTGTAATGTGTTATCACTGTTATTACTAAGGAATCATTTTGTTTGCATAACACAGTCTAACTCATAGCCTCCATATTTTCTTATACAGTATTACTTATTACAATTACCAAAAACCCAAAATCATACATTATTTACCTGAAGCCTTTAAAAAATATTGTTTTAATTCTAAAGTTTTCGTGTACTATACACGAATGTACACTTTATTTTTATTTAACTCAATGGCTGTCTCCCAATGAGGAATTTTTATAAGGCATTAATTTTCATCAGTCTTACATGAAATTTATACAATGAAATCATGTAACACAAACCTACCTACATAAACCCAATGTGATAAATATATAACATCTGTAATTATTGAGTATTTGTATAATCATGTGAAATATTAAGAGCAAACATTCAAGAGTAGTAACCTTCAACATCAGCATGCATCATTCAGCAATTTACTTACCGTAAAATAATTTCCTTCCAGCTGAAGTGTTCATGGCTTGCAATTTTAAACTTAAAATACAAATTTTCAGAACAAGATACAGGACACAATACAGTAAGTCATTGCTCCTATTCATACAAGTTTAATTTATAATGAACAAAGCAAAATTTATTAAGTAAGTACTTACTATTACCTTACTATTACCTTTACAAAAAGCCCCTAAAACCCAAGATAAAAATCTTACCAACTTCGCACGTGTACTCATCAGTGTAGTCAGGACAATCATAGCGTCCATCGCAAAGTTTTTCTCGGGGAATACAAGAACCATCTCTACATGTCCACTGCGTACGATCACAGGCTATGCAAAAACATTACCATTCATGCATGAAATCTTCACTACAAATGCAAAATATTATTAAATTAGTAGTAGTTAATTAGCTAGAAGTTAACATGTATAATTCCCTATCTTGGGAAGAGAAAATCCATGCAAGAAATTCCCCTTCATACTCTCCTTGAATTTTAAACACTGGTAATTTAACACTTCAACCTATTACCAATACATATACCTCTATATATTTGGCTATTAAAAAAATGCCTCCACCCAAGTGTCTAACTAATATACTGAGCAAGGATTAAATGGTATATTAGTACAAGAGCATACTCCAAAATAGGGAATGGTTAATAACCTTGTGTGTGAAAATGACCAGCATCCAGTAGAAGTGCATTCTATTAGTTCTGCTTACAAAACCAATCATAACAAGATGCAGCAAGGTTGACTCTCAATGAGTCTTTCACTCTTGCAATATTATTTTCACATATATTAAAGATTAAACCATAAAAACTAATTAAAAACCCTTACTACTACTAGTATCACTATTCCTTCACTAAACAATACCAAAATTTACCATGCCATGCTCTACTTAAAGTGTATGTTTATTTAAAAAATATAGACTCTAAAGAGTGCTCAACTTCAAAAGGCATTCTACAATAAATATTTCAATTCATTTTCCCAAGCTTATGTATTAGTTTAATAAGATTTTAACACCAAGTAATGTATACAAGATAAGGGGTTACTAGCCCCTTCCTCCTGGCATTTTAGTCGCCTCTTACGACACACATGGCTTACGGAAGAAGAATTCTGTTCCACTTCCCCATGGAGAAATAGTATTATTATTATTATTATTATTAATAATAATAATAATATTATTATTATTATTATAATTATTAATATTGTTAATAATAATAATAATAATAATATTATTATTATTATTAATTATAATTCTTAATAATAATTATCCTACAATTAATTCTGTACTACATGTGCAAATTTGCAATTCCCTTTAACTCTAATTTAGGTAATTTAAGTACAGCATCCAAGAGCAGTGGAATGACATAGTAGCAGTGATTGACTTAAGATATATTTGGTATCTATGTCACTTCATGGGTGATACCACACTAATTTAAATACTCCACTACATTTATGTTAATATACTATCATTATGGTTCGTTTGCATGGTTACTGATATACTTAACAATTAATTTGCACGTGAGTCTTTCTCACTATATAATGATACTCCTTTCACTCACTATATATCATTAACTTAATCACTGAGTGAGAATATTAAATAAAGAATTTGTAAACTGGAGGTTAGGAGGAGGTACAGAGTTACCAAAGATATTATTCAGAGGGCTAAGGCGAGGCTGCTGAGGTGATTTGGACATTTAGAGAAGATGGAGCAAAACAAGATGACTAGTAGGGCATATATGGAGCTGAGAGAAGAAGGGGTAGGAGTCATCCTAGGTAAGGCTGGTGTGAGGGAATAAAGGAGTTTTAAGTGCTAAGGACTCAGATATCCAACAGGCTTAAGTGAGTATGTTAGGTGGAAGTGAGACAAGTGGATTTTATGTTTTGATGTGTTGTTGGAGTGTGAGCAAAGTAACATTTATGAAGAGATTCTGGGAAACCAGTTAGCCAGACTAGAGTTCTGGAGATAAGAGGTATAATGTCTACACTCTGAAGGAGGGATGGGGATGCTGCAGCTTGGAGGGTCATCTGAACTGTAATCTCAACATGCTTCTGCTAAGACAGTTTTGAACCAATGACAGTTAAAGTCTTTTCTTCTTTGTCAAAATGGTCTACCTTGATGGGAGACAGCCAGTGTTAAAAAATAATAACAAGAATTTTTTTTTTTACCTCAGTGGTCATCTGCCAAGGAAGGGTAACCAAAAGTAGAAAACACATTTACCATTATTCATTCAAGTGTTGTCTTATCAAAAGTGTACTGACATCACAATTCAGATTACCCTATGACCGCAACATCTCCACTCATCCTCCTCCTGAGTGCAAGCACTGTCCTTTCCACCTCCAGGATTCAAGTCTGACTAACTAGTTTCCCTGAAACTTCTAAAATTACCTTGCTCACACTCCAACTACATGTCCATTAAAATCTATTTGTCTCCATTTACTCCTATTTAACATGCTCACAAAACCCTGCTGGATGTTCAAGCTCCTAAATCTAAAGTGTTCTTTACCACCCTCTAACCATTACAAAACATATAGGAGTTGAAATTATGTCAAACCTGCTATTAACATAAGTATGTGTGCCTCTTCATACATCCAAATAACAGTAATAAAACATCCATCATTATGGAGGTTTGAGCCAAACCAAAATAATTATGAGAAAAGTTATAAGCAACAGGCTCTTAATTTAACACAACAGAGCAGAATGAATTTAAATGCCATTTAATTAAGAGAGAAAATGATGTTACACTGACACCCTCAGGAAAACAAAAAACTCTTCTCCAACCATTTTACCTCAAAAATTACATTCATTGTATAATTATAAAAGATTATTATTATTATTATTATTACTGTTGTTATTGTTGTTGTTGTTTTATTGTTGTTGTACTAGACATAAGCAACAAATGACTGCAATAAAATTAAATCTTACTTATAGGGCAGCTGTCTTCATCTGAGTTGTCTGGACAGTCAAGGCGGCCATCACAAAGCATTTCTTTCGGTATACACGAACCATCTTTACAAGTCCATTCTCCAGACGTACATGCTGTTACATAAAAGACAAATATGTAAACCTCTGCTAGTTATACAAATAAGCTGCACCACTAAACCGTACACAAAAATTCCATTTATTCTATTTTTCATATTTCATTCTAAAGGTTTCTAGTTTCAATACACAAATAACCCGCACATAGAAGAGAGGAGCTTACGACAACGTAAGCTCCTCTCTTCTATGTGTGGGTTACGTATTCCTGTATAATTCCAGTCACGGTATTGTGCCTTTTTTTGTTATTTCTAGTTTCAAATTATTGGTTCAAATTTAAAATAGTGAATGGCACTATAAATGGACAACAGGTGTATTTTGCACCTATTGTATATCTATGGGTGCAATGTTTATTACATCTTTTATGCTCTATTAGTTTTAAGGTTTATCTTGCCTGAAATGCTCAGCATAACCAGGGATTTTCCATGGCTACTGTTAAATGTCATCCAATCAAGTTAAACTATGTACTGTATCTTATGGAAATAAAAGTTTGTCTTATTTGTTTTGTCTGCTATACAATACATGTGCTAACCATGATTTTACACTTATGGTGATGATATGTGAACTCAGATTCACAAATTTACACTTGGTCAACATGCTGGTAACTGATGAGGCACTAGATAAGAAGTGAGACAGAAAATGGGTTCGAGCAAAATACACTGTATCACAATCACAGAATGCTGAAATGCTGTTTTCAATGCTACCTTTATTACTACTACTTCTGCTGCTATTCTATGCCCTCCACCAACGCTATTACTACCTCTACTTCCACTACCATTACCTCTTCCTTCTACTCCCACCTCCTCTTGATATATCCTGGCCTTCTTCCATTCCCATTTCAGTGTGACTTCTCAATGGTCTAAGTCAGACAGAAATGCTGTCATTATGTTCCCTCTCCTAAGTGTGGGTTATGTAAGTATTGGTTTAAGGGCTGCAATAACACTAAGACAATATGAACCCTATCACCAAAAATATAGGAATCATGAAATAAGATAATGTCTAATGTTACAAGTCAATGGCCTTTGGAAAAGCAAAAATCTTTCACATCCAGAGAGGAAGTACTGGTGGCACACACCATAGTGAGCAGTGGAACCAGGAACACTTGGAGCATGAACTGTTCCAGCTTGAAAAAACACCACTACCATAAAGGCCTGTGATGGACAATGTAAGGTATAGTTGTACACTACAATGTAGCACTTAAATCCAGGCCCCATGGCCTGGTGGCTAAAGCTCTCGGTTCACATGGTGAGGGTCCAGGTTTGATTCCTGATGAGGGTGGAAACACTGGGCGTGTTTCCTTACACCAGCTGTCTATGTTCACCCATCAGTAAAATGGGTAACTGGGTGTTAGTCGACTAGTGTGAGTCGCATACTGGGACAAAACTGACCTAATTTGCCCAAAATGCTCTGCATAACAAGCGGCTTTCTACAGTACTATGTTATTGATGTCAGCTATGCCTGTATACCTTGTACATGTACTTGTAGAAATAAAGATATTATTTTTTTTTTTTTTTCAACAAGTCGGCCGTCTCCAACCAAAGCAGGGTGACCCAAAAAAGAAAGAAAATCCCCAAAAAGAAAATACTTTCATCATCATTCAACACTTTCACCACACTCACACATTATCACTGCTTTTGCAGAGGTGCTCAGAATACAACAGTTTAGAAGCATATACGTATAAAGATACACAACATATCCCTCCAAACTGCCAATATCCCAAACCCCTCCTTTAAAGTGCAGGCATTGTGCTTCCCATTTCCAGGACTCAAGTCCGACTATATGAAAATAACCGGTTTCCCTGAATCCCTTCACTAAATATTACCTGCTCACACTCCAACAGATCGTCAGGTCCCAAGTATCATTCGTCTCCATTCACCCCTATCTAACACGCTCATGCACGCTTGCTGGAAGTCCAACCCCTTGCCCACAAAACCTCCTTTACCCCCTCTTTCCAACCCTTTCGAGGACGACCCCTACCCCTCCTTCCTTCCCCTATAGATTTATATGCTTTCCATGTCATTCTACTTTGATCCATTCTCTCTAAATGACCAAACCACCTCAACAACCCCTCTTCTGCCCTCTGACTAATGCTTTTATTAACTCCACCTTCTCCTAATTTCCATACTCCGAATTTTCTGCATAATATTTACACCACACATTGCCCTTAGACAGGACATCTCCACTGCCTCCAACCGTCTCCTCGCTGCTGCATTTACCAGCCAAGCTTCAAATCCATATAAGAGTGTTGGTACTACAGTGGACCCCCGGTTAACGATATTTTTTCACTCCAGAAGTATGTTCAGGTGCCAGTACTGACCGAATTTGTTCCCATAAGAAATATTGTGAAGTAGATTAGTCCATTTCAGACCCCCAAACATACACGTATAAACGCACTTACATAAATACACTTACATAATTGGTCGCATTCGGAGGTAATCGTTATGCGGGGGTCCACTGTACTATACTTTCATACATTCCCTTCTTTGCCTCCATAGATAACGTTTTTTGACTCCACATATACCTAAACGCACCACTCACTTTTTTTCCCTCATCAATTCTATGATTAACTTCATTCTTCATAAACCCATCCGCAGACACGTCAACTCCCAAGTATCTGAAAACATTCACTTCTTCCATACTCCTCCTCCCCCATTTTTTTTTTTGTTTTTTTTTTTCAACAAGTCGGTCGTCTCCCACCGAGGCAGGGTGACCCAAAAAAGAAAGAAAATCCCCAATAAGAAAATACTTTCATCATCATTCAACACTTTCACCACACTCACACATTATCACTGCTTTTGCAGAGGTGCTCAGAATACAACAGTTTAGAAGCATATACATATAAAGATACAAAACATATCCCTCCAAACTGCCAATATCCCAAACCCAATTTGATATCCAATTTTTATTTATCTAAATCATTTGATACCCTCATCACCTTACTCTTTTCTATGTTCACTTTCAACTTTCTACCTTTACACACATTCTCAAACTCATCCACTAAGCTTTGCAATTTTTCTTTAGAATCTCCCATAAGCACAGTATCATCAGCAAAAAGTAACTGTGTCAATTCCCATTTTGAATTTGATTCCCCATAATTTAATCCCACCCCTCTCCCGAACACCCTAGCATTTACTTCCTTTACAACCCCATCTATAAATATATTAAACCACCATGGTGACATTACACATCCCTGTCTAAGATCTACTTTTACCGGGAAATATTCTCCCTCTCTTCTACTACCCTAAACCCGAGCCTATCCTCATAAAAAACTCTTTACAGCATTAGTAACTTACCACCTATTCCATATACTTGCAACATCTGCCACATTGCTCCTCTATCCACTCTATTATATGCCTTTTCTAAATCCATAAATGCAATAAAAACTTCCCTACCTTTATCTAAATACTGTTCACATATACGCTTCAATGTAAACACTTGATCTACACATCCCCTACCCACTCTGAAGCCTCCCTGCTCACCCGCAATCCTACATTCTGTCTTACTATTATTATTATTTTTCTTTTTTTTTCAACAAGTCGGCCATCTCCCACAAAGGCAGGGTGACCCAAAAAGAAAGAAAATCCCCAAAAAGAAAATACTTTCATCATCATTCAACACTTTCACCTCACTCATACTTAATCATGTTTTTGCAGAGGCATCCACATACAACAGTTTGGAAGCATATATAAAGATATATAACACATCCCTCCAAACTGCCAATATCCCAAACCCCTCCTTTAAAGTGCAGGCATTGTACTTCCCATTTCCAGTACGCAAGTCCGGCTATATAAAAATAACAGTTTATTCTTATTTTTTTTTTTTTTTTTTTTTTTTTTTTTTCAACAAGTCGGCCGTCTCCCACCGAGGCAGGGTGACCCAAAAAAGAAAGAAAATCCCCAAAAAGAAAATACTTTCATCATCATTCAACACTTTCACCACACTCGCACATTATCACTGTTTTTGCAGAGGTGCTCAGAATACAACAGTCTAGAAGCATACACATATAAAGATACACAACATATCCCTCCAAACTGCCAATATCCCAAACCCCTCCTTTAAGTGCAGGCATTGTACTTCCCATTTCCAGGACTCAAGTCCGACTATATGAAATAACCGGGTTTCCCTGAATCCCTTCACTAAATAAATTACCCTGCTCACACTCCAACAGATCGTCAGGGCCCAAGTACCATTCGTCTCCATTCACTCCTATCTAACACGCTCACGCACGCTTGCTGGAAGTCCAAGCCCCTTACCCACAAAACCTCCTTTACCCCCTCTCTCCAACCCTTTCGAGGACGACCCCTACCCCGCCTTCCTTCCCCTATAGATTTATATGCTTTCCATGTCATTCTACTTTGATCCATTCTCTCTAAATGACCAAACCACCTCAACAACCCCTCTTCTGCCCTCTGACTAATACTTTTTATTAACTCCACACCTTCTCCTAATTCCACACTCCGAATTTTCTGCATAATATTTACACCACACATTGCCCTTAAACAGGACATCTCCACTGCCTCCAACCGTCTCCTCGCTGCTGCATTTACCACCCAAGCTTCACACCCATATAAAGTGTTGGTACTACTATACTTTCATACATTCCCTTCTTTGCCTCCATAGATAACGTTTTTTTGACTCCACATATACCTCAACGCACCACTCACCTTTTTTTCCCTCATCAATTCTATGATTAACCTCATCCTTCATAAATCCATCCGCCGACACGTTCACTCCCAAGTATCTGAAAACATTCACTTCTCCATACTCCTCCTCCCCAATTTGATATCCAATTTTTCTTTATCTAAATCATTTGACACCCTCATCACCTTACTCTTTTCTATGTTCACTTCAACTTTCTACCTTTACACACATTCCCAAACTCATCCACTAACCTTTGCAATTTTTCTTTAGAATCTCCCATAAGCACAGTAATCATCAGCAAAAAGTAACTGTGTCAATTCCCATTTTGAATTTGATTCCCCATAATTTAACCCCACCCCTCT